GGACGATAAGGAACGGCAAGACAATATGGAGATAGCGACTGATCTTCTGCTCTGGGGAAAATTTTGATAAAGATTGCTTATTCATGACCGAGGGAATCAGATTCGGATTCTGCGGTATGTTATAAGCTCCGTAATTTATGCCTGGGATTACCTTCTGGTCGGCGAGCCCGACCGGTAGTGCAGGTTGGGGCAAGGCTGTGCACCGGGTCCCGGTTTCATACCAGATTTTGCACGCTGTCAACCTCGAGTCGCAAAATTTTCGCCCGATAACGCCCATTAACAGGAAAAAAAAAATCACCCACAGCTTACAGCTTGGTAAATCGACCGTCGAGAGCCACGGCGCATAGTACTGCCCTGCTACGGAAGAACGCCGTATGAATATTCGAGGGTTGCCAAATTTCCCTCAATAAAATGTTCACTTTTGAAGAAAGCAGAGGATATTTTTCCGTAACATTTTCAGGAACTTTAGGTGAAATTTTGAACAAAATTATCTGAAAAATTAGAGGAAAAATATTAACAAATTTTCCCGAAAATTCGTGATTTACTAAAGGAAATTTGGCAACGCCTAAAGGCTCATACGGGTTTTTCCTTAACACGATAGAGTAGAACGAACTAATAGAAGAGGTGGTCGGACATGCAATTCTTGGCTATATCTTCCGATTGTAAAATTTATTTCGTCACAAATTCAATTTCAAGGGGTGCTTTAGATAGGAAATTTCACGAAACACCAAATGGCACCACTCTTAAATTGTTCTGTCTCATATTATCGAAAATATAACCTTTTTAAGTTTCTCTTGCTCTCGTTCGTTTTCAAAGGTTACCTACCCTTTTGGGCCCCAAGAGCTACATATTTCGAGTTGCCCATACTCTCCCTACATGGATACTCTACTGGTAATTGGCCTACTCTAAGTTTGGAGGGATGAGAGCCAGAACGATGGTTCCTCTTTTGAATTCTGAGAAGCACTTCGACGGCCAGTGCACCTGAAAACTTTGAAAAAGATGTACCATCATACTTGTGCGGAAGTACCATCATAGTTTCACGAGAAATTTTCTCGTCAACGCGCGGTGACGATGATGAGAAAGTGTCCACCTGGCAACAGCGGATGGGGGAATGGCGTCGACAGTTTTGTTTTGTTTACATCTGTCTGGATGCTAGGTTATCCCGAGTCGACTGTTCAGCAGAGATTCCTTCCTTGAGCTCGGAAGGCAGGGATGACAAAAATCCTGCCGAATTTCCATCGCAAACTGTCTGGTGCGCAATCGGGAGCATCGATGTTTCCTTTCTGCAGACTCACTGCACTCCCCACGCGCCGCAGGATTTTTGTCAACCCTCGCCTTTCGGGCCAAGCAGGAATCTTTTAAATTCAAACCAAATTAAACGCTCTTTTTTTTTAAAGGAAAATCTGCATGATTTCTCTTCTATTATCTATATGATTAGGAATTTTAAGTAATAAAGACCATAAGGAATACCAAAAATTTAAATAAGGGGCCGTTCATAAATTACTTAAGGCTCTCAGGGGGGGGGGGGGGGTCTATTACAGCCTTTCGTTGCCTTACGAGGGGGGAGGAGAGGGTACGGCTGAGCCTTACGTCAACTTTTTAGCCTATATTTCAAGAAAATGCAAAAATCCATATTTCGTCAGGTTGATAATAAAATTCAAGATGAAATAGAGGAAATCAGGAAACCACCGATTGCTGGCCGATCGAACCATGCCCTATCATTTCTCTTGATTCCCACTTCTCCACTCATTCTCACGATGATGAGTAGTGACTTCATCCTCACGTCAACTTTATACTTTTAACTATTTACTCCCAAGGCCAAAAGAATCTTCAATTTTGCTCCATATTTTTGTTTATTAAACTAATTATATCATGAATCTTGCCTGTGAACTTACTCCAGAAATTTGGTTTCACATAAAAAAATTGTGGCTTAAAAATTTCATTGTGTTCTAAAGGGAAACGTCATGCTTCGATCTACGATAACTGAAAAAAGGGGGGGGGGTTAGTCGAGACTTACGTAATTTGGGGGGGGGGTTAAGGGATGCCTTACGGTGCTGCACAAGGAGAAGTATGGGGGTTAAAAAATGGGGAAAAGGTCTTACGTAATTTATACTAAAGGATGTTAACTGAACACTATGCTACATTAATTCCTGTCTGGAGTCTGCTTTTTCCTCCAAGAAAAAACAAGTTTATTGGACGGCCCCTGTATACTACTGTATACCCTCATACAGGGACCCTGGACCAGAGTTGCTAAAGGAATTTCATCGTATGAAATTCTTGAAATTTCACAAGAAATTTCATGAAATTTCCTCATAAAATTTCTTGAAATTTCCTTATGAAATTTCTTTTTGTAATCTTTCATGAAATTTCTTAACTCTGCCCTGGACCTTGGGTTCAGAAGTTTCTCTGAAGCAAGAGGAGCCCTTTTCGATTACGTTTCAATCAAAATGCAATCCTCACTCAGATTTTTTGGAAAAAATAACCCTGCGATGCCCTACGCGGCATTTATAAATATGATCAAGGCGTTAAAATGTTTTCACCGCGAGGGCGCGAACCGTGAACGATCGGGTCATGGGGCGAGTGCCTTACCGCTTAGCTACGCCGATTGATATAGAGATGTCGAATTTGCCAGTACATAAGGCAAATAAAGTTCTTTCTTTCTCCACTAGAGCTGAGAGTAGAGACGCATCGGTGAAACGCTCTTGCTTACTGATGATCTGCGGCAGGATTTTTGTCATCCCTAACCTTCTAAGCCAAGAAGGAATCTCTGCTAAACTCAAACGCCGGTTATCCCGTTATCACCGACTAAATCCCTTCTCATGAGCGCTTGTTGATAACAGATTCGCGAGAATCAAAATAATTTGAGTAATATTTAGATAAATGTTGTTAGCTCAAAAATAAAATAGATTTTCGACGTGTAAAAAGTGTTGCACTCTTATTATCTCTAACCTTCAGTACACTGGAACTAGGAAGGACATATCGTTATGAGTACCACAGAGGTGAGAAGAATTCTATTGTAAACTACTGATTCATCAAAAAGTTTCGAGGAAAAACCTAGGCAACTAGATCTCAATGATGGTAAATTATTTCTTATACGGTGAGTGGTGACTCTCCACAGTTTGTAAAACGGAAGTTCCAAATAGTAATTACTGTTCAATTGTTTACCATGTCCACTTTCTTCGGTGAAGGTAGCGTAGGTACTACATTCGTAAAACTAATTAAGACTTCATCTGAAAATTATTGATCACCACGTTGAGTAAAGTACTATTGATGGTGATAGTTCACCACTCTACATGTTCTTCACTATGCGACACTCCTTGAGCTTCCCTAATTCTTGATTATGGCTTCATAATTCTTGGTTACTACCACTTATATCCTTGTCAATCTGAACCAGACCGTAAGGGAGGAAACCTGTATTCTGATGACTTTAAAATGACTCATCCTATTTCCACAGTTACAGTTTTGCAGCTAACGCTTACAATACAATGCGGTACAAATGTACAATAACGACATCAACTAGATAGATTAATTAAAATCAGGATGACTGAATCTTTTTGCGCCATGTTTCCTCTCCGCTACTTATCTTTCCTAACGACTGGGAAATATGGTGCCTTTGAACTTTCCACTTTCCTAAGTGGTTTCAAAAGAAACTCATAAAATTTCAAAGTAGAAAGTAGCTTGGTTTAATCTTAAAAAATAAAATATGAAAGAAAATTAGCCATCATGCAATTAATGCAGTTGTTCTCCGTTAAAATGTGATGCCTTGCGGGATTCTCTATCCGAAGTGCTGGGCGAAGAGGAGATGAAGATCACCGTTGTGCACTGCTTGAGAAATGACCATTAGAACTTGGGACAGCATCAAGCGAATGGAGAAAAGTCCCCCAAAAAGGTAATAGAAATTGCTCTCAGCGCTTAACCGACCAAGGGAATGAAATGGTAGTGCTTATAGTGTTTTCAATCAAATAGTGTTTCATTTGCATATACACAGGAATTTAATCTAGCTCATAATGGAGCAAACTTGATGAAGAGGATAATGTTAATGTTTATCAAAATTTGATTAATTAAGTAAGTATAATAAGTATAGATCCTTATCAATTCTTCAGTCGCTGGATGTTCATAAATCATGAGCATCATGTCACAATATTTCATTGCATGAACCTTCAACACATTGCCAAAAATGTCTGTACGATTCGAGAAGTTTTCACATGAACACCGAATTGCTGACAATTCTCGAACATAAAGAACACTTTGGTCGTGGCGTCTAATACGGATAATAAAAAGATGAACAATCTGGGTATTGATCGAACGATGCTTCCCTGTTTTCTCTTTCTCAGAGCACTTCAGAACTAACAGGTGGAAATTTGGCACACTGACACACAAGGGATATTGACCTAGGTCACTTTCCTCATGTGAGAGAAAGTGAAGAGAGTTGAGAGCAGAAACATGAGTGGTAGGTAAACAGAGAGATGTAATCCAGCTGTTTCCACGCTCAGTTTTGAGTACTTGGGTCCAGAATGTCATTTTTTTTAATTTAAAGGGTAAAGAAAATAGATACTGAGAAGTAAGGAGTGAAGAAGGAGCAAGAAGGACAGTTGTTAACTTGCACATTTTTCGGCATTTCGGCGATGTTAGGCGCCGGTCTAAGAAGAAGTAAACGATGAATCGTAATAAAACAACGAAACCCTCTCAGCTACTATCGAAACATGACGCAATTCTAATGCAGCTAGATAATAATTACATCGCGACACGTCAAATCTACTGATAGGCAACTGATAAGAGTAATGGAAAGCCCGAAAATACAGAAAACATGACACACTCACTGCGGAATTCGATAAGTATCATAGCAAACTGTTACAGCGTACCCACGATGTTCGTCAAAATGAAAGCAACGCCGTCCAAAATGGGCAACGTGCTTTTCAAGTAAAGGGTCTTGCCGTCTCGGAAGGGTTGAGAAGGATTGCGAAAAGGGTGAAGCGGTAGCGAAAATGAGAAATCCGTACCTTGTCAATCGGCAATGTTTATCGGCAACGCACAATCCAAATCCAAATTAGAACGGAACTGACCGGGAAATATGCACAACACTGAGATATCGTAGAGCAAACGAGGTTGGCGAAAACTAGTTACAACAAAAACACCCGACTCACATGAATAAACGTGTAGAGTAATTCGCGAGAGACTAGCACAACACAAAATAACAGTGGAAGTCGTTCGGAGTTTGTTGGTCGCTGGCGTATGGCCTGATGTCATACCTTGCCGCCTCGGCCAATGAGAGCGCGCCGATCCCCGATTCCCCCTCCTCGCGGTAATTGGTGCGCACAGCGCGGCGCGGCGAAAATTGTCGATCTCGCGAACTGCGAAACGAAACGGCACCTACATATTATCTGCACAGAAGGATTCCGCGTGACGTCAGGCGCCCTCAAAGTCACCACGATGCGAGGGGTTATCGCCTTTGCGTCCTCGCCGGCGAAAAAGTTCGCAGCCAGATGACTTTGATTAAAGTCAAAAGATCACCGCACCTAACCTCCCAGCTTCTCGGCTCATTGTCAGCTGAAAGACGAGAAACGCTGGACAGCAATTTAGTTAGTAGCGCGTTCATAAAATATAAAATACGCGACGCCTAACA